CTTACTAATATATTGACTTTTCTTATAAAAGAATTGTCTGTATGACGCGCCAAGAGAGAAGGGACCTTACGTCAAAAAAGATTTTAGGTTATGTTTGTGATCGAATTCAATAAAAACTAATTTTCATTTTACCGGGGTTGCTACGGTTGAAAAATTTCAAAATTTTAGTTTTAAGTTTTAGCTTATTTTATTATTATTAATAATTTTAAAAAATGTATCTAAATTGAAAAATTATGTATTGGAGTTTTTTTAAAAATTTTAAAAAAGAAAAGAAAGGTATTTTTAGGTTAGTAATCTTGTTGACGTTACTGTACATTACTTATATACGTTACGTTTTACATTAAAAAATTCGAGATTAATTAAAAATAATTTATAAATACAACCACTGTGAAATGTTTCTCTGTTCCCTCATATATTTCCCCCAATTATTCATTATCTAGTATGAAACACTTGCTTTTAGCCACTAAATCCAATACGACGCATTAATCACATTCAACGAATGTTTTTACAGTTTTTCTATACGGGTTCATTTTGAGTAACGTGAAGTTGTCTGTTGACTCATTTTGATGCAGATATCATAATGAGATGCAGCAAAAATGAGTTCATTTTTTTGTGTGGTAATATTGTCAACTTGATCATTTGAAATTTACAGGATTCAAATATGGCATATTAATTTTTGAAAAAATATTTTATAAAATTCCCTGACTTTTCCTGACCGTAGTATAAGTACTCACTCGATGGGTACATTCGGAAAATTTTGATGATGATTAAAGGCTTGAGCAGAATAGAAACGTAACCGAAATCGTAACTGCAAAAGCAACCAGAATAATGAGCTAGAGAAGGACAAACAATATCCCTCTCTAACTCATTCTTTCGGTTGCGATTACGATTTCGGTTACGTTTCTATTCTGCTTCTTCTTAGCGATACCAGCTCTCTTGCGGAAAAACTGTCGCAACTCAGGTGAGAGATCAATAATTACAAATGACGGACATAAATTCAAAAACGACAGCGTTAAGGTGAAAATTCTTGAGCAAAACGTGAAAAAAGAACTAGAGATTTCTTGAACATAAAAACATAAATTAAATTACAGTTTCTCACGATAGAAAATTCAAAATCCTTTTTTTCGACTCCCTATTATTCTGTCAACTAATTATACCGGAAATTCGTCCAACTATACACGTAGTACAGTCACCGTCGACAAGGCTAATCATGACATTTTATTCTTGCGCAAGAGCGACTCAATTGAGCGCATAAAACTTGGGCTTGACTCTCGCGCAAATTCCAAAGAATCGCTTTACCGTGATGTTATTCGAATATAAGAAGTATCTCTCTCTTTCTCTCTCGTTTTCGAATAGAAGAGATATCTTGCAAAGAAGAAGCGCATATAACAAGGAAAAAGTCTTCGGCCGAAGGGCAAACGCTTTACCAGTCTTTGGGGCCCTCTTCTCGTTTTAGAGATGCTGACTTTGCTCCACGACGTGTATATATATAGAATATGTGTGTATGTTGAGAGCAGAAAAGCCAAGAGGGACACAGACGAGATTTTAAACTCACAGATGGAGGCGTTCAGCATCGGTGGACAATGGCGACGAGCCTGACAGGACAAGGTCGCGCACATCAGACCTGCTTCGACTCGCTTGTTGCTTACCACAACGGTTTTCACTGCTCTTTACCGCAGCTAGTATAAGCAAACCAATGTTAGCTGCTGCTGCTGCTTCTGCTTCTTCTGTATAATGCGTAACTATCCTCTTTCTTTTATTTTGTTTACCTCGGTTAAACGTGTGAACACGTACTCTCTTTCATACAAGAGTCCTTTTTTTGTATTATAGTCATCCTCATTACTCCACTTTAAGAAATCCATTAATTCTCTTCATTGCAAAAACGGGTGTCTTATTTTGAGAAATAGTCTTAAAATTGTCTCGATTTGTTTCATTGGTTAGAAAAATGTCTAAGACGTTCCGTCATTGGCCGAAATCTAGGAACTTTAATTAAACTTTATCTTCATTTTTAATGGATAAATTATTTATTTTCAATCTAATTTAAAAATCATTCTCCAGGATAAAAATATTAAATTCAGGTTATGTTATTGAAAACACTGACAGATATTTCTTGGTGGTATCTATGCGAATCTTTCACCACCTATGGGGATGTATGAGTACTTGTCATGAACTTTCAACAAATCTTGGCACCACTTTGGTGAAGTGGAAGATTGGTCTCCTGTAGTCTATTCTCCATGCAAAAAACAAAAAAAAAACAGAGCTCGAACATATTTGAAGACAATGTACGAAACACTCTAATCTAGAAAATATTTGCTAAAAGAGAAGTCTGGTAAATACACGAACGAGTAACATAGCCATATAATATGCTCTTACAAGTTTTGTATAGTCGCGCATAGTACAGAGAGGAGAGTAAAAAAGAGAGAGAGAGAGAGGGGGGGGGGGTAATCTTATACCGCCTTTGGCGACCCTAATAGGCCAGCCGTGTGCGACAAAACCCTTTGCTCTCTTATTATCCTATTGCCCAGAGAGACCGTCTGTATTCTTCGCATTCTGCGTTTTGTACCTTCTTCTTCACACGTAGGAACGAGCCGAGACCACAAGTAAGTCACACGCAAGATGCGAAGGGAAATGAGATTCAATGACCTATCGCGCTTGCAAATCTGTATTGTTCGCTTCGGGGCCGACGAGCGCCTCAAGAAAGAAAAAAAAACAGAAAAAAAGAGCAGAGCATCAAAAAAAAAAATCGCCTCTGGGAACACAGACGTAAAACCGTCTAGAGTGTATTGAAATATCTCATTCACTCATTTTTTTTCCCTCACCAAAACATTCATAATTTTTTCCAAATACTTATTTTCCTCCAGAAATTTACATTTTTTCCAACCCTTAACGAAATTTTAATTTCTTTTTAAAAAATTCTCAATGTTACCAAATCGTAATTTAATTACATAAATATGAGAAAATTTCAAGAGAAATTGTCATAAATTTTTTTTTCTTAAGGAATATATTTCACCATATAATGGTATTACATAAAACACGTATATGTACATACTGGAAAAAGAGTTTTTAATATACGAGTGATTGACTTTAAGGCAACTGGAAGATAAGAAATGCTGATTATTTCATGTATAATGAGAATAGGTCTATGGCACTTTCTGTAATATTTGCTCGTAAAGAAAAAGCGAGAGTAAAAGTCTAATAACGAGAAAATGAGACTGGACCAAAATAGTATCTCACGAAACACAAAATTTTATCTACAAAAAATTATATCATTAAATTAAAAAATCTAAAACTTTTCTAGATTCCAATATAAGAATTTCGATAACGAATTAATTAAACGAAATAATATTTCGTTGAAGCTTTTTTTTCTCTCTCCCTATGTGGAAAGAAGAATAATATGAGAACTTGTATTGGTCGCCGCGAGGTTTTTGATGTACAGATAACTCCGCGGTTATTTTCTTCTCTCTCTCTCTCTTTATACGTTTGATACTCGACGTTTCGCGTAATATATTTTATACACAGCGCAAAGAATTGTACCCGTAGAAACGAAAAAATGCCACTTGGAATTAATAGTTGTGCGTCTCTATTATCAGGACACAGGTGCTATAGCTAATGGACGGAAATTCCACTCAAATAAAAACAGTTACAACTTCAGTAAATATTTCTCTTTCCACACATACGTGAAAACGTGCGTGCAATTTCAGTTGTATATTCATCTCAAGATAAATATTTATCCTATCATTTAAACAATTTGCAAATTCTTCAAGACAAATTCCCGATATTTTATTTATTTATATTCCAAACGATATTCATCAAGTTTATCAGATTGGATCAAGAATTTCACCACAGAATTAGGAAAAAAAAATTCTGTTATTTACTTGAGAATTAAATAAATTGGGATTTGGTTCAAGTTCAAAGACATTGTGTGAAAGATGAGAGAGTATTAATTCTAATGCATGTGCCAATTGAATAGTCTGGCGTGACTACTTGTGATTTAGTTGAATCAAGATTTCATCACACTCTCCGTCTCTCTCTCTCTCTCTTTTTCCCTCCCGAAGAGAAGGTGGAATTTCAGTAGTGACAGCCTTTCCCAGCAAGACTCCGTTACCTTGTCATTTATCCAATCCTTCTTATTTAATACATAATTCGTCATTCCCTAGACTATATATATAAACATTCCTCTGTTCGTAGGAAGTCGAAAAAAAGTGTCATTACCCTTGTAAATGTGCCTCAAAGTATTCTACTTTATATGCAAGTTAATCTTAATCTCGTATAATTTTCTTTTATAAATAACCCAACCCAACAATTTCAGTCATTGATTAATAGGAATTTATATGTAGAAAAAAGTAGTCTCGACTATTACACACATTACTACCTGGTGGTCTGCTTCCATCACATTTCTTTTTTTCTCGTCAAATTCTCAAATTTTGTACACTGAAAAAATTGACCCCAAACGAAAAATTCAATAAATATTTACAGTTTTTAACTGAATATAGAAATTTGTCGATTCGTACAGTACTAAAATTTTGTCAGTGTATTAATTTAAAAAAATTGTCAAAGATTCGATGGGATAATATAAAAGAGGGGTAGAAAAACGCAATGTGTGAAAGGAACCTAAAGTTTAGAAATGCTGCATTCCTATTTCCTCTAATGGTTTATTTTCCTTGAAGCTGCGTGTGTGTCTATCTACCATCTATATCTGTAGTACCTCTCTCTCTTTCTGCGCTCGAAAGAGAGGAGGCCACTCTCCTCATGTTTATACCTGCACACGCACCTATCGTGCACGCATCGCGACACGCACTTTAAAGTGCAACCTTTAAACAAACGCATTAGTGAATCTGATTTTTCCTATCATTATACTCTTCATCTATTTTCTTCAATAATTAGCTATTTTAGCAATAAAAAATAAAATGAATTAACTTTCAACGCTTTCAATATATTTTCAAAATATAAAATTTAAGTCGCATTTCTTTTTCCTGGAATATGAATTTAAATTTACTCACCGGTATCCATTGCGACGAGGGTCAAGGTATATTCTGACACTAATTCCCTGTCCAATGGTCGAAGTAGAAAAATATCTCCAGTGCTGGCATTGATTCTAAAAAGATCGGTGTCACCTTCTTTCAAAAAATAGCGAACTTGATCATTGTATGGCGGTGTATCGGCATCGTAGGCTTGAACCTAAAGTAAAATTTATATTAAATTTGCCACAAATACCAAGTTTCGAATTTTTTTTTTTGAATTTATAAAATCTTCAAAGAAACATTAAACTCAGAAGTAAATGAAAAAAAATTTATCTTTTTTATAAAAAACTATTTTTTTTACATACCTGGATCACAAATCCTCCGCCGGGTGGTACCAAATTCTCCATAACATGAGCCAAATAGGGAGAATCGAGAAAAACAGGCGCATTGTCATTAATATCCAAAACAGTGATAATAACTTCAGATGTATCGTCACGTGAAACTCCTCCAATTTCCGGTGCGCAATCTTCAGCTCGCACTGTAAGACGATATCTAGACTTTCGTTCGAAATTTAAATTTTTCGCTACACGAATCACTCCACCGTCTTCTGAGATTGTAAAATCACGGTTGTCATCGCCAAGTACGATACTATAGCGAACTCTTCCATTTGCACCTTCATCACGGTCTGTTGCTGAAACCTAATACCAATTTTCTAATTTTACTATTCATCTATTTTACTACATGTTTTATTATTCTATATAGACATATAAATTTTATAAAAAATTGTTATTTACAAAAATTATTATTTATCTATTTTACTATATATTTTATTATCCTATATAGAGATCTAATTATTTTTGTAATTATTATTTACAAAAATCATTATTTGTCTATCTATTTATTTATTTTTATCTATTTTACTATTTAACTATTCTATATAGAGATATAATAATTTTTGTAAATAATTATTGCACGGAAAAAAATATAAAGTAATTTTTACTATTTACAAAGTAAAATATAAACTTTCAGGAACTTCTGCGGATTTTTTTTTGCTCCAAAAATAAAAAAAATTATAGTACTGAAATAGTAAAGTTTACTCTGTAGTTTTCCTCTCCCCTGGCCAAAAGTCCAGGCAAATGCGAGTGCTTCTAATAAAAGTCGGTCTACAGCCGCAATTTTAAGAGTTTGTTGAGTTCAAAGAGTTAAATAAAAGTTGTGAGCAAATTGTAAAGACCCCTAAGGGGTATACAATGAAATCAATTTTAACTTTTAGTAAAGTTTACTCTGGAAATAATATATAGTTTTTACTATTTACGGAGTAAAATTAACAAAAATGTGCAAAAGTTCCGGACAGTTTAGATTTTACTACGAAAGTATTAAAAGTTACAAGCCTCGGATTATACGACTTTTTTTCGAAAATACTACTTTCTTCGACTTATTTGAAAAAGATGCGACTTTTTCAAATTTTTTTTTACAAAATTTTTAATCAAAATACGTCTTTTTAATATATAATGCAAATCTTCTTTATTTCAATTATTTAACAAATTTTAAACTAAAATTTTTCTCAAAATTAATTATTTTTAATAATTTTAATAAAAATTCTTCAGAAATTCAATTATATTAAATTATTTTTTAATTAAAAACTTATGAAATTGAATTTTTGTTTGTATTTTCTAATAGAAATTCATCAACAACTAAAATAAAAAACATTTAATTAAAAATCACGTGGAATTCAATTATTTTCAAATATCTGAATGGTAAATCTTTGAAAATTCAATTACTTTTAAAAAATATAACCTAGAATTATTTGATAAATTATTTTCAATTCTGTAAAATTTAATTATTGTTTGGAATTTAACAAAATCTTTTGAGATTCAATTATTTTTAAAAATTTCAACTATAACCCCTTCTAAGTTCAATTTTTTTTAATAATTTTAATATTTCATTAAAAATTCAGTTATTTAAAAAAGTTTTAAATAAAAACACTAAATTGTTGTCAGAATGGATTTAATATCTAATAACATTAGTTATTTAAAGTAAAATACTTATTAACTAATTAAATTTTAATTAAAATTGAAAAAATCGACTTTTTTAAAATGTAAATCGTCTAAAACGACTTTTTTTTGCTCCTTAAAATCATTTCGAGGCTTGAATTTACTATTATTTTGTTTTCCATTTTTTTTCCGTGTGTTTACAAAAATTAATATTTATCTATTTACTTATGTTGATCTATTTTACTATTTATTTTATTATTCTATATAGAGATCTAATAATTTTTGTAAATAATTATTATTAACAAAAATTATTATTTATCTATTTTACTATTTTACTATATATTTTATTATTCTATATAGAGATTTAATAATCTTTGCAAATAATTATTATTTACAAAAATTATTATTAGAAAAATTATTACACGATTGTGAATTATTTCCTGCATGTTCCGACATTTATTGTAACTATACTTATAAAAATAATTAACTTTGACGCAAACTATACAGGAATATAAATTAAAGACATAAATAAAACACATAGAAATTAATTAACAGACATAAAAGGAAATAGTTGATTACAGTTTAGTTTAGATCCGTTTAATTTTCAATGATTTGACCCTATTTCCTATTATGACGAATAATCGATATTAATCGATTGTGCAATTTGTTGCTCCGAGAGAAAGAAAATTACAATTAGATATTGTTTCATCGTTTCTCATATAAATAAACATTTATTACGGAATTTCAATATTATCTCAACCGCACCCTTCATTTAACAATGAGTCTATAATAGCAAAAGAAAAAAAATATATTTTTTTAATTATATATTAAAATCGACTTACCTGAAGAACGCTGGCACCAATGCTTGCATTTTCAGCAACGGTAGCTGAATATTGTCGTGGATCAAAAATCGGTGAATTATCATTTTCGTCAAGAACAACTACGGTGACTTTTGTTGAAGATGATCTTGGTGGATCGCCTCGATCACGAGCAGACACTTGTAGCGTATAATTTGGCCTCTGTTCCCTGTCCAATGAACCGGAAACTCGCAATAATCCATCAACTGTTCCCAAAGTGAATGGAAATCCATTTTCATCCAAAGAATATTCGACATAACCATTTCGTCCTTCGTCGCGATCAACGGCCTTAATTGCCATCACCACCGTATTTGAGGGTGCATTCTCAATTATTATTGTCTGATTCGGTGATATAAATTCCGGTGCAAGGTCATTTACATCCAGAAGAACGATTGTCACCTGCAAAAAGTAGGACAATTTTTATTATTTATTATTATTTTTTTATCAACAAAAAAAATTGTTCTACAATTAAAAAATAAAATTTACCTGCACAGTTGATGAGAGAGCACGAGCAGGATACTGTGGACTATCATTGGCTCTCAATATTAAACTGTAGAGAGATTTTTTCTCACGATCGAGTAATTTTTTCGTAAAGACAGTTCCGTTTGGTGCAATATCAAAATCATTGTTCTCATCGCCACTGACAATTGCATAGGCAACTTTACCATTGTCCAATGAATCCATATCTTGAGCAGTAGCTGATAATACCGCTGTACCAATTGTGGCATTCTCCAAAACTTCAGTGGCATAGGGTCCTGGTTCAAAAATTGGTGCATTGTCGTTGAGATCGACAACGTTACAGTAGACCGTGACTGTGGATGACAAAGCAGGAATTCCACCATCCGTTGCTTGGACAACAAGAATGTAATGCTGAACCTGATCAAGAATCATCATCATTTTTTTTTTATCAGAACAAAGATGCTCGCGATACTCATTCAAATTAATATTTGAAATTTAAAAAAAAAAATTATTTAAATTTACAATTTATTGTTATCTCTGGCTGTTTGAATAATTTCCTTATAAAGAATATATCTATAAATATTAAAATTGTGTAATTTCTTTAATAATAATAAATTTATTGGACATTGAAAACAATTTTATTCAGGCAGTCTTGATTTTAACTGGCCGTGCGCGTTGTCAATTATTCAGTGTCGATAAGTTTCAATAAATTAACAGTGTATATCGGGAGTAAAGCGTGTCAGACGTATGGAGCGTGGGTTTATTGGTATTTTAGTGGCAACAAATCTAAGGCACAGTGGCGCTAGGAGAAATAAAAACACTGTTTTGTTGCGTGCTTTGCTTTTCTGTATCTGAGATATTGCTCTCCTACGTTGAAATTCTTTTCTATATTTATAAACGCCAAGCGAATAACGATTTGGTATAAATCGCAACAAACTAAAACTTTATATAGTCTTCAAGAAAGTAATGTTTTCTACAATATAATAATAATTACATTTCAAATAGCACAACTTTCTCGTATTCTCTTTTTTCTCTTTCTGTATAAAACTTTTTTTCGTTTTTCGTTGGCTTTTTATCATTTTAATTTCTATGAAATGTTAGATTGTGACAAGTAATGCTGCGCCACCTACTTATGAAACACTCGTTTATAATCGTTTATCAGTCGGTAATACAGAAATCTACATTAAAATATTGTAAAATTCGAAAAAAGTGTGGCATAAGTTTTTTTATTTTCTAGATTTCTATTTATGTCAAATCGAAAATAGCAAAGAAATAAGTTCCTTATAATCCTGTTCGGTGACTCATAAATGTAATAGCGGGTGAAATCGTTGAGTGTATATATGAAAAATGTCACTGACAATAAGCCAAGTTGCTTTCTCGACTACTCGGATAAAAGTTTTGATAAATTTAAATGCCGTTGTTCATATGAACGTTGTTTTAAGATTCGATCTATGATGTGTGTGTGTGTCGCTAATGGTACACACAATGAGAGAAAATGATATTATACGGCAAAATCGTAATATTTGACATATCGCAATATAATGAACGGCACTATATATTCTTCTTTGTCTTCTCGCAAATATAGCTATACTCCCTAAAAGATTATCTATATCAAATACTTTTAAGGAGATACCAAGCCCTGTTTTAATTTATATGTATTCTCTGATGAAATATTATTTCAACTCTTTTTCTCTTTTGTCAATTAAATCAATTACAATTATTCCTAGATTCAGTTTTGGATATACAATAATTTTTATTACAAAAATATAAAAAATAAAATATTTTAATTACAAAATATACAATAATTTTAAATATACGAAAATCAGGCCTCGGACGGAATTTAAGGTTAGGTCAAAATCAATGCAATTTTCACATAAAGCTTTAATGGAAAAATCATATCGACTTTGACATGCCCTTAAGAAACAGAAAAAGTTAATTTACATTTCAAAAAAAGTGGAATAAATCGATGTTTTTTAAAATTAAATTTAATCAATTAAAAAATATTTTACTTTAAACAACTAATGTTATTAGATATTAAATTCAATTTTATTAATTTCTTAATGAGAATAATTCTACAAGAATATTATCAAGAAAATTTATTTCGAATATTTCAGAATCAAACTAAGATAAATTTTCAAAATTTTATTTAAGTAGATCAATTTTCTAAAAAAAAATTCTTCAATTTAAAAAATTTTTTGAAGTGGAATTTAATGGCATGTCAAAGTTACGCTACGTGTTACATAAATGCTGCCATGTTAAAAGTGTCACCACTTTCGCATCCCCTTAAGCAATTTATTCGAATTAAAAATTTTGGCATAGTTTTTTGTTTTAACAAAAAAAAAATGTGTTACAGATTTTTAAATTAAATTTTTTTAAATAATTGAATTACAGAAAATTTGAAATTTTTCTGCAAATTTAAACTGCTGTAGTTTTTTTTCTAAATTTCTGACAACAATAATTCTTAGAGTTTTTATTTAAAACTTTTTTCAATAATTAAATTTTTTAAGAAATATTAAAATTATTAAAAATAATTGAATTTTGGAGGAATTACATTTGAAATTTTTAGAAATAATTGAATTTCAAAAGATTTTGTTAAATTCCAAACAATCATTAAATTTTACAGAATTTAAAATAATTTATCAAATAATTTTAGTTAATCTTTTTTTTTAAATAATTGAATTTTCAAAGATTTGACATACAGATTTTTGAAAATAAATTAAATAATTAAAATTCAAGTGTTTTTTAATTGAAATTTTCAGTGATTTCTGTTGCAGAAGAATTTATTAGAAATTACAGACAAAAATTGAACTTTAAAAATTTTTAATTTGAAAATTAATATTAAATTATCAATTTCAGTTGATTGAATTTCAAGTGATTATTTATTATTTTATTTTTTAATTTTATTTAATGTTAATTTTATTTTTAATTTAAAAATTAAGATAATTAAATTTGTGAAGAATTTCATTAAAATTATTGAAAATAATTAATTTAGAGAATAAATTTAGTTAAAAATTTGTTGCCACAAAAGTTTTGTTTCATTTTTCACTTTTTTCCTGATTTCCAGTCAGAAATTAAATTTTTTTTTCTTCACCTTAATGAAAATATTTTTTAAATTTTTCCAGAAGGATAAAATACCCTGACTTTTCCTGATTTCGCTGACCCGTGGTAACCCTATTTTTACACTGAAAAAAGACGTATTATTTTGTTTGAAAATTTTTGTAAAAAATGTAAAAAAAAGTCATATAATTCGAGGCCTGAAAAATTGATACAAAATCATATTTTTTTACACGTTTTTTGTGAAAATAAATGTTTTCATTAAAATAAACCTTCAATTTTTAGATATATTTACTAAAACTTAGGGTCTAGTCTTAATAATCTCGATCCTTAAACTGTAACATTATCTTTTAAACAAGTGAAACAGAGTCTTTCATTAAAAGATCCGTTGGAATGCATTTTTGGTCTTAAAAACTGATTTAAAGTCACGTGACTTAAATGCAAGGGTTTTCTTTTTTTTAAAGTAGTATATCTGCATCCATATTTATTTACGAGAGACCTGTCGTTTTGAAAAAGAAGAGCGGAACTTGGTCTCGATAATCGACCATTTGAACTCTATACTTAACGATTTTACAAGGACCGATTTTCGAAGAGAGCACCTTATTATTTCTCTGTTTCCATTTGATTTTGTCGACGCTTTTGCCAAACACATAGACAATATGTTTTTCTCTCTTTCACTTTCTCCCTCTCTCAGTAATAATCTTGGCGTGTATCGCCAAAGATTTCGAAGGGCATTTAGTTTGATGAAGGGTTCTATAAACGGCCTTCTGCCCCTGTTCCCTTGCCGGTTAGACTTGTTTGCACCCACTTTTTTTTATCTCTTCGTTTTTAAGCCTGTTACACGATTCAGGGATTAAGAAATCAGAAATGGGATTATCGAGTAGTTAGTCCTTTTAGACACCTCAAAACATATTCTAGTGACGAAAAAAAAAATTACCCTTCAAGTCCCGTTGCATTTTTGATTTTAATAATCCTTTCAAATATGATTGGATTAAAGAATAGTTTTAATGAGGCTTTGAAAAAAAAACAAAGTGGAAAAATATTGCGGTAAGGATAAATTAAAAAGAAATCAATCACTATGTCTGAGGGAATAATTTCTCTTTGGATAATAAATACTTGAGTGAATTTTTTTTTTTCAAAGTGTGTGTGTGAGAATTTGGCTTGTCTCGGAGAATTGAACTGGCATTAGAAACGTCTGTCGAGCTGCCATGCCGTCGATCAGAGTTAAAACCCTAAATTCTAGACCCGTGTTATTTTGAAACCAAAGAGGTGGTTTAATAGGTGAGCGCCCAGACTTTATACTTGCACTTTTATGCGCTTCTTCTTTTCAACGATCGTAAAAACCTGCGCGCATCGCTTCAAGACTATATCTTCTGGTAATTTATGCAGCTTCGATTTATACCAATTCGTTTTTCTTTTTTTTTTGTCGAATTAATTTTATATTATTCAGCCAGAGAAAAATAACAATACTTTTTAACGCATCTATATAAATAAAAAAAATGTATTTTTTTCATAAATTAGCATTAAAAACAGGATTTTTTTTAACTTGAAGATTGAGTATGTAGGTTTTTTTTTACACTTGGCGTGAAATGCGCCAAGTTTGATTTAAATAAATAAATATTTATACAAGTCCGAAGAGACTCAATTCCGTTGGACGGTCAACAAGGGATTTTACGCAGGTTTGGGGTCTTGGGGACCAATTAAACGACAAAATTAATCATTAAGAAAAGGACCAACCTGTTCGTAGTCGAGACTTGCTGTAAGCGTGAATACTCCGGTGTTTGGATTCAGGGAGAACACGTCGTTAGCCCAATCGGAAATCAAGGCGTAACTTAATTGACTGTTCAAACCATCGGCATCAGCGTCCGTTGCAATCACTTGACCAACGCGACTTCCTCTTGGCATATTTTCCGGTACATCAAAAGAATAGGCCATTGCTTGAAATACCGGTGCATTGTCATTTGTGTCAGTTACCTGAAAATAAAAGTTTATAATTAATTACAAAAATTCATTAACTAAATTTTTCATTTTTAATTTTAAAGAAATTAATTAGCTGTAAAATTTATTTCTTAGAATTTTCATTTTTTAGAATTTCTTTATATGGAATTTACATAAATAATCGAATTTTTATTTTTTTAAATTATAATTAAACAGAAATTTCATTTAATAAGATTTTTATATAACAAAATTGTTATTTAGACGAATTTTCATTCTAGAGACTTTTGATTTTGAGGAATTTGACAGAATTATTATTTACTCGAATTTACATTACTTTTCACTCTCTAAATCTGAATTACTCAAAAGTGAGTCACTAATTTAAATTAGTAAGAATTTTCTCTAATTCTTAGTCACTTTTTACTAAAACTTTAGTAAAAAAAAATTTAAACTACTAAATCAAATAGTAATTTTTTACTAAACGTTAGTAAAAATTTTTAATGTGAATTAGTAGCTCACTTTTCACTAATTCAAATTTAGAGAGCAAATCTGAATTAGTCCAAAAGTGACTAATTCAGATTTGCTCTCAACTGAGCCGATGCGTTTATTAAATGAAATAGTACCTAACAGTTTTTGACTAAATCTTATTAAAAAAATATTAATTGTTAGTAGAAAAAAATAACTCATTTAGTAAGGCTATTATTTCAATTACTGAACTTTAATAAATTAATTAGTAGTTTTCTACTATCAATTGGCCTTTTTGACTAAGAATTAGTTAAAACAGTTACTAATTCAATTATTAAATTAATTAGTAACCGTTATGACTAATTTTTAGTAAAAAATGACTAAAAATAAAAACTACTAATCACTTTAGTAAGACTACTAATCAATTTAGTAAAACTACTAATTAAATTAGTCAACTAGATTAAAATAATTAATAGTTTTCTACTATCAATTAATCATTATTGACTAAGATTAGTATAAAGTTGCTAATTAGATTATAAAATTAATTAATAACTATTTTTATTAATTTTTATCAAAAAATATCTAAAAAGGAAAAACTTTTAATTAGTAAACAATGATAAATTAATTAGTAGTTTTCTACTATTAATTATTCATTTTGGACTAAGAATTAGTTATTTTGAACTAAGAATTAGTTATTTTCGACTAAGAATTAGTAAAACAGTTACTAATTTGCTTAATAAATTAATTAGTAACCGTTTTGACTAATTTTTACACTCAAAAAAATAAGTAGTAGATTTGACTACTTTTTAACTATACCCTGTATAGTACAATAGGTCCTCAACTCAATTTTAAAAGTTGTATTAACTACTAAAAAGTAGTTAAAATAACTAAGAATGTAGTTGATATAATAAGATTTTGTAGTTAGTTTTAAATTCTAACTACATTTTTAAGTTAATTGTACTACTAATTTTTAACTTCTTAAGAAATAATGAAATTAACTACACAAACATTGTTATACTAACTAAGAAAGTAATTGTTTTAACTTCTTTTCACTTAACTACCCAAAGGTAGTTGAAGATTTCGGAAAAATTTTTTTCAGTGTAGTAAAAAAATGAATAAAAATGAGTATAAAACTGCCTGAATATGAAAAACTACCAATTCATTTATTATATTCAATCAGTAAACTTTAATAAATTATTTAGTAGTTTTCTGATATCAATTAGTCATTTTTTACTGAAAATTAGTCGAAATATTTTTTCTGACAAATGAAAATTCTGTACAATAAAAACTCGGCGTTTTAAGAATTTTGTTAAATGTAAATTCGAACAAATGAAATTTCGTTAAGAAAATAAATTCTTTCTATTACATTCTTTCTACTCTCTATATCTGAATTAGTTAAAATGTTTACTAATTTAAATTAGTGACTCACTTTTTGCTTCAGGTTTAGAATAAATTAAATTTTACTAATTGTTAGTAACAGTTACTAATAATTAGAAAAATTTTACTAATTCAGAAGCAAAAAGTGAGTCACTAATTCAAATTAGTAAACATTTTTACTAATTCAGATTCAGAGAGTGTAAAATAAACATTTTTTTAAGCTCAAAATGTATATAACCTACGGAAACTATTGTTGCAAGATATTCTTTTTTTGTAATGCCCGTTTTTCTCAGGAAAGAATTCATTCCAGAAAATTGTGTCCCGTGTGAATTTTATTCAACTATATAGAGAATATTCGGGATATTCATCAAAAGGAATGCTTTCTAGAAAAAGGCCGCGTGTGTGACATTGGGCTAAAGGAAACGAAAACGATGGGTCCAGTTTGATTGAGGTCTTTGGAAGACGCTGTCAAAAGAGGATAGGGAAGTTTCTGTGATAAAAAGTGCCGTGATGAAGGGCGGGGGAGAGAGGGAAAGAAGACGACGAGAAAGGGGTGGGGGGAGATTGGGAAAGAAGTTGAGGATGATGAAAAAGAAAAAAAAATGAGGATGAGGAGGAGGAAGAAGCAGCAAAGTGAGGAAGAAAAGGGTTGAAGAAGAGAGAAAGAGAGAGAGAAGAGATTCCGCAACTGTCGGCAAAGGTCCTCTTTCATGGACCCAAAGAGCAAACTATGATCGGACTGACATTCCTTTTGCCTTTAAGAGACCCCGGACAGATCGGCGCGGACAATGCTGGAGTGGATCTTAAAAGAATTCCAACCATTAAATGTCATAAAGAAAATTTTTGCGATTGTACTCCATGCCGCACTGAATTCGCTCGTTAAAAACCTTTGCAAGTTGGTTTTGTTTTTATCTGAAAAATTTTACAAATGCTTCTAATGAATTATTAGCTAACAAGCATCAAATTTTGTTTCACTGAAAAAATCTCTTTGAGTAGCGATACTCACTTTGAAACGCATCGAAAATCAAACTAATTGTTTTAATTTGAAACTATGCATTTTGAGAATAAAAAAAAATAATTTTTCTCCCGATGCTGCTTTAAAAGCGAAAGGAGAGAAACCATATTCGATAAATCAAAACCTTATTCAAAAACTTACATATAGATACTAAATATTTCCGTTATGAAAAAAAGAATCGTGAAAAAGTGCCATAAAGATTATCAGGTCAATTTCTTTATGGGAACGAAATTATTTTCTGTCCGTGCGATTAAAGGAGATTCTTTTTTTTTAGAGAGAGAGAGAGTAGGGGCTGTGAGATAAAAGGGCTGATTGTTCGGTGATACTGCGGGAGTTTGCGACGAGTTTAATCGACCCACGCGGGATCAACAGTGCCTTCAGGGGCTGAAAGGTCATCCGCGACTTCCTGCTCTATCCGTATTGCCTATTACTCAATGCGATTTTCACGGTACAGAATCGGCCGTATAGTTTCGCGTTTAGCACGAAAAGCTCCAGGTCACGAAGTTGTGACGTTCTGACGCGGATAGATATGCCAGTCTTCGTGCCTCTCTCATTTTTGATCGATTTTATTATGAATTATTATAACACACTCTTGGGAAAGGTTCATACCGTTTGCATTACACTAAATAAATAGATATAAATGATAAATATGTGACGCTCCACGAGAGAAGAAACAAAATTTTAGGTTATTGTGATTTTTGATGTAAAAATACTCACAGAGAATCAACTCTTAAGGGCAGGTCAAAGTGGGGATACTTTTTACAATTTCCATGTAAGCAGTAACTTTGACATCCCCTTAATACAACACATTTATGTTTGTCTTATATTCAAAAAATTCAAAAACTAATTTTGATTTTACCTGATTAAAAAGTAACTATTTTATCAAGGTAAAATCACTAAAATTTTGTTTAAGGTCCCTTTTCTCTTGAAGCGTCACATATAAATAAATAAAAATTGTTTTTTTCAAAATTGAAACTTGAAAATAAAAGCATTATATATATATACAGAAGCGGATTATCGAAAAGGTTAAGGTCAGGTTGAAGTGAATTTCTCTTGCGGAAAAAGAGACAGAGAGAAAGAGACTGGTTTAACATATATTATTACTCATGCAATAAGATTGGATATATGTTTTAAGTAGGTCTTGTACTTGATCTCACATCGAAAGGTAGTGCCGCTCATATATATATGAGTAGAGAAAATAACGTTGTGATCGCTAATGCTAAAGATATCTCAAGCTGATAAGCGAAACCAATCATAAATCAGACTTAGTGTTTCCGTTTGCTAAAATTGACTCTCAATAGAAATTGTGTGACATCAAAAGAGTGTAACAAATTGTCCCCAATCAATGATTCTGAATAAAGAGATCTCTTTGAAAGTCAAAACAATTTTATACATATCATATATATCAGAAATTCAAATCTTAAATAAAGGATCATTTTTTTGATTGGTCACCTGAATATATAAATTTCAAGCTATATGTACAGCGAAAAATAAAATTTATTTTATTCAAATAATCTGGTACTGAACTATTATCAAAAATAATTTATTAGTATCAAATAATTTTTATATCAACTAATTTTTATTTGAACCAAGTAAACTGCACTCAAACCAGTAATCCCTGTATTTGTTGCATCAAGTAACCAATTATTTTGAATGAAATAAATTTTTTTCAGTCTATTAAATATTAATTCCACTTATTGATTTTGTTTCTATTTCATACAAAAGTAAAAAAAAACTCACCACAATTGTTAAGGTGATATCGGTGTGTTGTACTCCATCGTCAGCGCGAGCTCGAAGAACATATTTATCTTTTGTTTCTCTATCCAATGCTTCCGCCAAACGAAGTTGACCAGTTGTTGGATCGAGTTTAAACGGTGTATTTTGCAATAAATTATCATTTTCTGTATTTTCATTTTTTGGATTTGATACCAAAGTGTAAGTCAATGTTCCAATTGAATCGGGATCATGAGCTTTTAACACAGTGACAATTGTATTTGGCGGTGCTTCTTCAGAAACTTCAAATTTCCAAGGCTCTGTACCCCAAGTTGGTGCCACATCATTCTTGTCCAGTACTGTTACACGCACCTGTGAAAAAATTTTAAAAAATCCAATTAAATTCATTAAAAGACAATTCGAAAATAAAATTTTTGTAAAATGTTGGTTGTCACCGCAGGATTCAAAGAAACGAAACGGGAAAAATGCGAAATAGTTGTAAATCTCCGTAGCTAATCGTTATGTTATGGAGGGGTCTAAGAACCTGAAATAGTCAAGAGGACATTTTTTTTCCCTCTGATCCGAAGCTTAGATTAGAAACTCTTTTTCCTTGTTCATATTTTCAACCCCAGGTCGTATTTTAATCATGTTTATGTATATAATATACAACATATGACACTGGTCTTATCATAATTGTTTTTCAGATAGGATATGGTCCTTTTTTCAATTTTCATAAGAAAGTCCATTAAAAAACAACGTATCTTTTCTTTACTATTTCCCTTAAGAGATATTGGAAAGTTCGACAAAATTATGGTGACAAAGGTATTTAATTTTTACTTAAAAAAAAGGTTTTTATTCTCAAATAAAATTAACATTTTATTTGTTCACAGTTTTTCCTTTCTACAGTTTTTTTATACCTAAAAAAGATACAAATACAATTTTTTATAGGATATTGTCTGGGAATTTTATAGATGAAAATATATTTTCTATAGACACTAAAAATGATTTAATATGTGATAAATTTTTTGCGGTATGACAATTTGTATGACAAGCTCAACCAATCTTTTTTTATGACAGGACACAAAACCAGTTATTCAACCGGTAGGAGTAATTTTTTTTTTCCTTACTAAGTGCTCCTTATAGTTTAACGCTTATTATAAACGATCATAGAAGAAATTAGTAAGGCTTTTCATTAAAAAGAGGAAATTTTAAAATTGTATAAAAATAAAAATATATTGCAGTTTTTTTTCATGAACATTTCTGGGGGATTTATAGAAAGAAATGTAGTTTTATATTGAATCCAGTTCGGCACAGCATGTTAAGAATTCTTTCGAAACGAAAAAACGAAAGAAACTAACCTTCCCGCGTGTGTGTCTACCTTTTTCAGATATACCCTAAGCGGAACATTCCAATAAAGTTGCCCACGTAATCCTAATAGACAGGCCTATTTAAAAATAGCAAATCTAATAAATAAAAAGGGGGAAATAATTACCTATTCTGTTACAATTTTTATTAAGAATGATTATGATTTTAGACCTCCAAATTTGAGAATTCGGGGTGAAGTTAAATTTATTTGTATATTGATGTATTAATTTCAGAATGAATTCTGAAAAGGAGGATTCATCGACCTGGATCGTTTCTAACTTTTATCGTACGAAGGAATCAGAATCAAACAACAGGTATAACCCACAAACTGTCAGAGAAAGCATTGGGTTGTGAATACCATCTCTCTCGATTCACGATCCTCGCACACAGGTGGAGGACTTATATATATACAGTATATGCATTCTAAACCTGAAAGGAAGATGGTCGATCTTATTCATCGAGTCTGGTGCCTGATTTCCCATTCGAATTATCAAACCAAAAACTGGCACACAAAAAAGAATGAAAAAAAACGACCACCAGGGTTGGATAAAGATGGCGCTATACGAATCTCTTCTGTTCGAACACACACATACAGATTGTATTTTCTTCCAACAGTCATACAATGACATGCCACTTTCAAAATGTATCGATAAAGTCAGAAAAAAAATACATAACAAATCTGATGCTTTGATCAATCTTTTTTTTATACCCTTATCTTATCGGAAGAAAGATTCCTATTCAATAAATGTTCGTTTGTCAATAATCAAACTTGTTTGTGGCGTAAAGATTTTCTAAGGATTAGGTAATTTTAAATAAAAATTGTCACCGTTTATTAATTTTATTTCGACGTCAAGAGTTAGCGATACTAGCGCCGTTTTTAGGGAATAGTGCGCTGCAACTAAAGTGAATATAAAGGAGACGCATTAAAATCCCCGAAAGTTCATATAACTGAAATTCCAATCCACAGAAATTTAATTTTACAAAATTTCAGTTAAACAGAAGTATAAGGTAACAGATTTTTAGTTTCACAAAATTTTCATCTAATAGAAATAGAATTTAACAGAATTCTCACCCAATTAAATTTTCATTTAAAAGAATATGAGTGTAGCAGAATTTTGGTCAAGCAGAAGTTTCGAATAGCAGACCTTCTATTGGACAGAACTTCGTTTGGGCAGAATTTTCATCTAACAGAATTATCATTTAACAAAAATTTCATCTAATAGAATTCTCATTTGACAGAATATGATTTTTGCAGAACTTTCATTGAACAGAACAAAGCCATTGTTGAAAAGCATATTCTGTTTTATTCAATGAAAGTTTTGCAACATTCATATTCTGTTAAATGAGAATTCTATCAGGTGAGATTTTTGTTAAATGATAATTCTGTTAGATGAAAATTTTTGCCCAAACAAAGTTCTGTCCAATAGAAGGTCTGCTATTCGAAACTTCTGCTTGAGTAAAATTCTGCTACACTCATATTCTTTTAAATGAAAATTTAATTGGGTGAGAATTCTGTTAAATTCTATTTCTGTGTTGGATGAAAATTCTGTGAAACTAAAAATCTGCTATACCTAATACTTCTGTTTAACGGAAATTCTGTCGATTGGAATTTCTGTTATATGAACTTTCGGGGATTTTCATGCATTTCGAATACTAAGAATGTATTATAGTGCCTTTTAAATTGAGTTTATGTGCATTTTTATAGAAGGTTATTTTGTGCCGTGTTGACGGGTTAATAATTAAAAATATATACTTTGTAGAATTATTATGCCTTTAGCAGAAATGCTGTTGATTCAATAGCATATTTTTCTCAATGTAGAATCGAAAATAATAGAAGATTACTGTTTCGAAATTTTTACTACAGATGCGCAGTTTCGATAACCCAACAAGTCGAAATAGAATTGAAAATCAGTGACAATAACAAAAAGAATCTGCTAAAATGATTCTCGGTATTGTTTTCCAGACACGACACCTGTTCAAAGAAATTATTATTCATTTTCTCTTGTGTCACTTGAGTCTGCGAGAGGACAATATAGCCACAAATGTATTGACACATACTTTACTCATTCCTTTCAGCAAAGAGAGAGAGAGAATTGATGCAAAATGCAAGAAACATTCTAATCACTATGTGCTACCTTGTGATAATGGAATTTGTGATGGTCACTATATTGTATGTATTCCGTATAGCGAAGACGTGACTGTGAATTCAATAAAGTGCATATAAACTCGACTTTACATCGAAAAATGAACTTTCTCACGATTCATTCCAAAGTCAATGTCCATAGCGCTACCAACCACGTGAACTCGTTGAACCGATCTATCATGCCGTCCAAGGCCACATTATTCTCGAAGATTATGCCAGGAACTCAATGCTGCTAAGATTCCTCAGAGTACATATATATTTGTATCATCAGAAGGGAAAAAAATTGTCGATTTATTACACTCAACCTACTACAATTTGCAATTTTTTAGACCATAAATTCTCATATATTTTCAAAAATAAATAAATTTTCGAAAAATCAATCCTAATTTTCCTATGGGGCATATAATTTTCTATTAATTTCCTAGAGGACAATTTATGAAGTGTAAAAAATGAGAAAAAATATTCTGGGTGTGTTTCTTTATTAGAATATTATTTTGTGTGAAATTTGTATTGGGTATATAACGAACAAGTTTCAGAGGGTCGCACGGTGTCTTCTCCCAACCATATTTGTGAACAACTTATGATCCCCGGAATGATTATAATTTAAAAATCTAAAGAGCCACCGTTCACCAATTAATGATACCAAAGACATTCCATAATCACAGCATTTGATTGCACCATGTTGACAATTTTTTTTTCGTCATTTTTTAAACCACATTATTTTGGTTGTTATTATTATATATATTCAACTTTGTGTATAATAATCCGAATACTTTTGAATATATATGTTTCTGCATATTTTTATATGAGAAGAAGAAGAAGAAGAAGCGAGATATTAAATTGCAACTTTGTATAACGAAGATTATAAGTGTAGTTTTTAAAGCCTAATGAATATCTGTTTTCTTTCCAATTAAGTCTTTTTCACATTTAGGCGTATTTAAAGAGATAATAATGACCCTCACATACATATAGCAATGATCAAAGAATTTAAAGGGATTATGTTTACAATTTTTAGTATAGTAAAAATTAAAACCTGTAAAATGATTTTTTAGGTGCATTTTTTTTAAATAAGTGAAAAATGGCAAAATTGTTCAATCAAAATGTCAAAAGTTTTTTATTTTTCTATTTTATTGTATATAGAAAAAAAAATTTGTTTCATTCAAATAATCGATTACTTGACTATTATCAACTCTCTAAAGAATTAGTAAATTTTTTAACTAATTTAAATTAGTGACTTACTTTCTGTTTTTGAATTAGTAAAATTTAACATAGTAGAAAAATTTGTTGTACCATCGAACTAGTAAAATTTAACTACAAAAGCGAAAAGTGAGTCTCTAATTCAAATTATTTAAAATTTTTATACTAATTCTTTAGAGAGAAATAAATATTTATTTGTATTAAATATTATTTGAGTCTATTAAATGGTACTTAATACAGTATTTAATACGATTAAATGGTACTTAATACAGAAATTATTGGTTCAAATACTGTTTATTTAATTAAAATAAAAATTATTTATAAATATTTATTTTATAGTAAAATAACCAATTATTTAACTTAAAATTTTTTTCTATAATAAAATAAGAAAAAAATGTTGACATTTTGATTGAACACTTTTGCCATATTTATATAAGAAAGTGTTTCAAAATTTCATGACGCGTTTCTTTTTTTTATATATAAAAATTTCTATATGATCGATTCGAATATACATTTTGATATATTGAGAAGAAATAAAACCTTGGCATATTTTTTTAAAAAGGCGCTGGGATGGAGACGCGGTACAAATTGACAAATCCCTGACATCCTTCCTATATTGGACATTTGACCCGACTTTTGTGGTCACAATGCATTTCGCACAAACGAC